AGCCGTTGGCAAGCTCGTTGGCGCCACCTCCGTACTTGTTGTAGTAAGCCTTTTGGAAAGCCTTGACCAGCCCACAACCGCAGATTGCACCCAAACACTGCGCCACCATGTACCAGAACGCCCGAATGAGTGACACCTTCCTTGCTAAGAACAGCCCAAAAGTCACCGCCGGATTGATGTGTCCTCCTGCAGTACTTAATTAAACACATAATCATATATTGTTAGAACTTCACACATGTATATATATACAAGCGCATGGCCACTTAAAAAAAATTGTTTTTTGTGCTGGCTTCTATATATTACAACAGTTTTGTACTAAAATAGCACTTTGTGATGCCCTCTATTACGATGATAGTTGTAATTAAGAGGTTTTTTTTTATAGTAGACCTCTAGTATTAGTACTTACCAGAGATACCGGCGGTGCAGTAAACAAGGATGAAGATCATGCCACCGAAGGCCCATGCGATACCAAGAATGCCAACGCCGCCGCACTGATCGTTGGCAGATTGGCTCTTGTAGCCGATGACAGTCAAGACAGTGATGTAGAGGAAGAGAAGAGTAGCAATAAACTCGGCGATGAGAGCCCTATAGAACGACCACTTGAAGAGCTCCTCCGGATCAATCAGTGGTGCCGGAGGCGGGTCATGGTAGTCCTTGGCGGAGTACTCGCCGTGCTCCACCTGAACTTCAATGTCCTTGGCCATAACTACTGAGCTAATTAACCCTAGGAAGAGATCGGTTTTGGGTTTTCAGTGTTAATTTGTGGTGATGAAGAGATGAGCAGAAAGTGGGGTGTATATAAGGGGAGAAATATTGATTAATGATTAAGAGAATATTAAGGGTAATGACATAATTAAACGTAATTTTTTGGACCGACCATTTGTGTATGTGATATGAACAACTTTGGTTGTCGACTTTCTCAGTTTGCATGGACCCACCATTAGCTGCAACGGCTATTTATTTTCCCAAATGATTTTGGTTTTTGAAACTGTCTGCTTTGTGATGGCTTTTGACATTATGTATGGCAAATTAGTAGTATATTCTAACAAACAAAATATGTCATCTTCTTTTTGTGTGTGTGGATCAAAGTAATTAATTAGATTATATCAAGATTGAGTATCTATTTTACAATTCGGATAGTTTAATTAAAATTGAGTTTTTATTAGATTGTAAAATA